TCACATTATTTATATTGTATGTCATGGTGCATTCATGATCATAGATATCTGTATGTTGTTATTGTTTAGGATTATGTTGGGATCTCTACAAGACTTTATGTTCATCCCACGTTGTTAATATTTTTCAGGTGCAAGTTGAGAGATGATTCAAGATCAGTGATCTTCCTTAATTGTTGGCCACGGGGCCTATACTTGTTGGTGAAACGCCATTGTTGTAAAAGGGTTAAACCTTTACTTTTATTGTAAAGATGTAAGCCTATAGGCATTTTGTTTACATGTAATTTCTATTGCATTCTATATATGTACGATTAAGAAGACTTTCATTTGTTTATGGAGGTAATGTATGTATAGTTCTACTTGTTCTTAATGGAAATGGATTTTTGTGTTACTCTTTATGGAAGAGTTACTCCACCGTAGCATGTATTCATACTATATGTGCTTGGCGACCGAGTAATGAGGTGAGAGAATGGATCCCTGCTTCCTCACCGTGTGAGTCTTACGTGTCATTATTGATATGACTTTCATTTATGTACCCTTTTGTGACTTTTGACTATGTCATAAGGTAAGGGGTTGATGTTCTGCTACTTTGGTATGTTGCCTGCGGTCATGCATGATTCGGCCTTAAGGGACATCACTGGGAAAGCGGTCAATCTTAAACTAAATGGCATGAGTGCAAAGGGAAGATCATCTAGTATTACACCACTGTTGTGTATTCACTGCCGGCAACTCATATCGCTCTGTATGAGAGGCGAATTGAGTGTGAATATATTGCAAGAATTGAGAGGGTCAAACATGCTCTTTTTTTTTTGAGGGATTAGAGATGTTTTTTGGACTGGTGTAATTAGATGGGTCTGGGGTATATGAGACACTATTTCTGTTCTTTTTGGGTTGATGTCTTTATGCTGGCTCATTTTGAGTTTCTAGTATAGAGCTCCCACATGCAGGTGTTCTCAGCAGTCGCACGGTGCAGTGGCTAGTATGAGATTGTTTATTTTTGGGGAGATTGAGATTGAGACGTGGCAGTGTCATGCCAACTCATGTCCGAGTGGGAGATGTTAGAAATTGGGCGCCCATGTGGCATGACCCTTAGAACCTTTTGAACCTCATCCAAATGGGTTTTGAATTTGAATTCAAACCTATTTGGATAGCCACTCAGGATATATATCTATCATATCATGATATGGATAGATGATATAGATATCAGATATTATCTCATTTAACCAATGGATAAATGAGATAAATAGATTATATATCTGATATATGGGATATGGGTGATTAAGTGGAAAAACAACGTATGTTTGTTTTTTTTTTTCAAGATACTGACTCTCTCCCAAAATAACGATCAAAGCCATTTGCACTGTGGTTTGTGTGGGTGATATTCAATATTGTAATATCACTTCACTGCTGGGTTGATTGACTAGATTCAGGAAGCACGTGATTTATCCACGAGATTCTATCATCAAAAAAAAGGTATGATCTAAACATTTTATTCCGCTGCATGTTTTATACTTTGATTTACAAAGGGCAATGGCATAAACTTCTTCTATCCCTAAACAAAAGGTTTGTTTCCTTTTTAACCTTCGAATTTTCATGCATTGATTAAGATCTTTCGAATCGAGGTCTTGTTCCTGTACAATTGATGTCTTCTTCTAACTCTAAACTCAAAAATTGGATCAAATAATGCACCATGGATGTTTGAGTAGGACTATAAATAAGTCCAATTGAGTCAAATAGTGCATTATTTAAGACTAGTTTTAACAAGTTTAAAAAATGAGTTGAAATTTTGTTTATTATGTTTCAAGCTGATCTCTAGAATAGATTCAAGTTTTTTATTTATTATTATTATTATTTTAATGCAATTTTATAGTGAATATAAAATTATCAATCAAATTTAAGTTCAACTCACAAAATTAAAGAATCATTAAAATATGTTCAAACTTAACTTTCAACCTAATAAATCAAAATCTCAAATGAATTTTTAGGCCTTATTTGATTAGTGAGATTAATAATGAGGGGATTAATAATTTATATAATTAGTGCAGGAATCATTATCCAATTGAATTAATGGGATAAATAACTCGGAGAATTCTGAAGATGAAGACAAAAATATACTACACTTTTCGACTAGTATGGACTGCAAAATGCACCTGATTATTCCTTTTTCACCATCAGATGCTGATATCTACAAAGGAATTAAGCTTTTTAGCAGTCTGCACCTTGTAAACTCAGTAACATTTGCACCTCAGAGGTCATAACTGTTTGACATGTGTCACTCAATAAATACCCATCATGGTGAGAGACAAAACTTAAAAATATTAACAATGACTCCCAACATCAATAGCAAAACTGGTAGAGCCTGGATACTCTCTCATCTTGGAAATTTTATTTTATTTTATTTTATTTTGGGGGGTGTTTGTTAAAAGCTGGTTGTTTGTTAGAACATTTTTTTCTGAAGCAACTGGCCAAACAACTTTGAAGTATTTTTCAAAAAATGGAGACATGCCAAACAGGAATATCTATATAATAGGGACTATCTTAAACTTCTGATTTCTAATTTTCTTATGTGGTAAAATTGAATATATATATTATATAATGTAATTTTAACCTCTCCTAATATTCACAGAATTTTTAAATTTTTTTTTTAATGCCTCCTGTTTCAAAATAAGAGGTCTTCTTGTTTTCTTTTTCTCTTTTGGACCACGTTTTTGGAATCTTACGGTTTTTAAATCTACTTTGTTGTCACAATTATTCCTTTATTAGCTTTTTTTCTAGCAATTTCTTTCATATACCCTACTTTTCTAGATGCAACTTGCATGAAGGAAGGATAACTTAGAGAGTAAGACACTTTAATAATTTTTACTTATATTTATTTTCAGTTGATAAAGTGATTTTCAATGGTATAGATAATAGAAGGAATAATTTCAGATGTGTTGGTGTTGTGAATATATGCTAGCATCCCACATTACATTATTAAGCTACATATGCCATAACTGTATTCTATTATCTGAATTATCACTTAATACTTTACGAATCATAATTTAAAAGGCGAATATGAGATAAATGAGGAAACAATAATAATAATAATAATCAATAGTGTAAAGTGAGAAATGTGCCTTATGCAAGTGAAAACTACGCAATTTTTGCATAGTTTTCCATTTATATGATATTCTCCCTTTGTTATTGAATTCTTATCACTTATTTATTTATTTATTTATTTATTTTGGGGAGGTTGTTAAAGGGCCGTTGGGGGAATGATATAGGTGTCATAAATTTGATATATAAGGGCAAAAGTTTGTTGGTTAGAATAATAGTTTACCTTGGAGAGATTTGTTTTTATCTAAGTGTTTGGGGCCTTGGTTTTGTCAAATATATCATTGTTCATACCTATCCAAATAGTTAGTTAAAAAGGCTTGCTTAGTATTGTTGTTGACAATATTTATATTAATTTATAGTGATATATATATATATATATATATGTATATTGAGTCTTGTAGCAGATGAGGAAGAATTTTATGAAAGACTATTGAATTCAAGATCAATGTTCTTTCATCCATCTAATCTGCATCTTCCTCTTTATTTGATTCCTCACCCATTTTTGATCGGATCATAATACTTTCAATGACTTGCATTAAAGAGAAGCATGAATTTTGATACAGTTCTGTTTGTTTTCAGTCAAGAAAAGAATTGAGCACAACTCACCTTTTTTCTTGTTACTCTTTCACTGTAAATGAACAACACCCAACAGATTGGTTTCCAAGAAAGAGTACAACAAAACCATGGCTTGGTCTATGATCATAGCAGTTTAGAACACGCCAACCAATCTTCCCAATTTCCTGGTGGTTGTCAGATGGGAATTTGCATTGATTCATCATCAGCCATGGAGGGAGGAGGATCACAGCAACACAACTTTGGTTGTGGTGGGCATGCAAATTCATCAAGTACCATCATGAGTCGTATCGGTTCACCATCTTCTGCTTTTTATGCAACCGAGCGTTACATGGGCTTTCCACAATATGAGTATCAATCTGGAAATCCCATTGTCCCCTCCCAACAACCCGAGAATTATGATCTGCAAACTCCATCATATCTATCTGCAAGGGATAGTTTTTATTTCGATACACCAGAGCAAGATGACCCCAATTTGCAGTCCAAACATGCCCTGCAATCTGATGCGAAATCCCACTTTTGTAGCAATAAAAACTACAGTTCTGATGAAAGATCCTGTAAAACTCCATGCAACAATTTCTCAGAAAGAGAACACATTTTTATGCTGAAAAGAAAGTTGCTTAGTGATTTTGATAATTCAGATATGAGGCAGCCTTCAATTCCTTTTGAAGGAAATCGGGATCTTAGTGTAAGTCTTTTTTTATAACTTCACGTTCAATGCATTGATTCATGTATGGTGTTTATTTATTTATTGCTAGCTATGTTTGGATGCTGGGAAATTAATTTGGCATCTTTTTTACTTCATTTTCTTGTGTTTTCGCTTTTCTTTTCCTTTACCTCCACAGCCCATGATCCAAAAAAAGGGATTAATCTCATCCTGGTTATATGTATGTATACATGACAGGTTTGTCACAATTTGTATAATTCTCAGCATGAACATTTGAGGCAGTCTGCAGCTAGACCTGGTGGAGGTGTTTCAGTTACTTCTGGTAACTCTGGATCAGCCATTTCGAGTAAAACACGAATTCGATGGACTCAAGATCTTCATGACCGCTTTGTCGAGTGTGTAAATCGCCTCGGTGGGGCAGAAAGTAAGTAGCTTTGACATGAGCCTTTTGTGCAGGTATAGAAACAACTATTATTAATTGATCATTAACCCTTTTTTTCAATCAAAATTTTAGAGGCAACACCGAAAGCGATACTGAAGCTAATGGACTCAGAGGGGTTGACCATCTTTCATGTGAAAAGCCATTTGCAGGTGCTAATAACATTTTAAAGAACTTTGTTGCTTAGGACCTGTTTGGTATCTTGATAGAAACAACTATTATTAATTGATCATTAACCCTTTTTTTCAATCAAAATTTTAGAGGCAACACCGAAGGCGATACTGAAGCTAATGGACTCAGAGGGGTTGACCATCTTTCATGTGAAAAGCCATTTGCAGGTGCTAATAACATTTTAAAGAACTTTGTTGTTTAAGACCTGTTTGGTATCTTGATGTTAGAGATCTAACGTGATTGTTTGCCTTTCTTTTTCCATTTGCTTTATAGAAATATCGAATTGCAAAGTACATGCCAGATTCTGCAGAAGGTAAATCTAATCCTGAATAACACTACTTGATCATTGAATTGATTTTGATCATTTGCGATAGTGTACTAAAATCTGATCTTAAGAACATATATAGGGCCTATTTGTTACAATTTATTCGAACTTGAAACTCAATTTATAAGTAGAATCTAAAAAAACAATTCCTTCCCAGCTCAACGATAATTAGTTTTTTAACGTTATTTTGCCCCAAATTTGAAATAAAAAATAAAAAATTCATAAGCGGCATCAATAACTACGCCAAACAGGGCAATAGAGCATTCCAAAAAATTAAATCATGTCATGTATTGTTCTGATGAGAAGAAACTCCTCAGATATATATATACACTTGCAATTAGATGTGAATTATCATGCAGTTTTCCTCAACTTGTTCGATTAATTATGCATTTCATCTACTTTAAATATATCAAACACATCAATCAGGCGAGTCTAGGAATAAATTCTAATAATCTCAATCTTTCTTCCTTCGTCAACTGTAGGAAAATCTGAGAGGAAGAATAACATGAATGATGCAGCACAGATTGATATAAAAGCGTAAATTTTCAAAGAATCGCTTGTTTTTATTTGTTTGACATATTGTTGAATGGCATTAGTATTTTATTTGTTTGACATGATAGCTTTTTAATTATTATTTTTTTTTTTTCCTTTTAATTTGCTTAGTAGGCTCACATTAGATAGTTTGAGGAAGAAGTGGAACTTCTTCACAACCTGTTAGTAAAAACTGTTATATAATTGTTGCTTCATTTCGTTTGAGGCTTTTGAGTATTAAGGTGTGTTTGGCTTCAGTCAAACTGTTGTAAATTGTTGCTTCATATTGGTGTTTTGTCTCTTCATTCACTCTAGAGAGGTGGCTTTTGTTTCTATTTGATAAAATAATTTGAAAAGTTTTTGTTGAATCTGCAAGTGCAACCATGAAAAGAGTGTCTGATTTAAATAATCTAAATTGTAAAGTAAGCTATCTTTTTTACTTTTTTATTTACAATATGCCAATTCACATGATGCATATGGGGAGAAAGGGGGTATAACATTTTATATTGCTTGGACTTGGAAAAGAAAGGGCTATAACTGTTGGTTACAATTGGTTCTGAACACTTTCTCATGATTAGAACCTGCGTCAACATGTTGTTTTTTCATCTCCTTTAGCACAAATGCATATCAATCTATCATATGAAGATGGCATTGATAGACTACAAGATGATTTTGGCTTGTCTTGTAGGTAATGGGACTGACATGGGGCATGTGGTATGCAACTATCTTCGGTATACATCAAAAAGTTATCCTTGGGGCTGATGTGTTATATGATACAAGTGGTAGGATTATTTTTGTTGAGCTACTGTTTTTTTTCCTTCTTTTGCTCCATTAAACTGAAGATGAGATGTATATTGTGCATATATTGGCAAGGCTTTGATGATCTCTTTGCCACTGTGACATTTCTACTCCAAAATTCTCCAGGATCTGTTTTCATAACAACCCATCACAATAGAAGGTATTTTTCATATATTTCATACTTTAACCTTATTTTGTGTTGGCAGTTTACATTTCAACAATGTGAATCTTTGAATTTTATTAAAAATGTATTATGTATTTATATATTTGTTTTGTTTTGTTTTGTGCAGCGGGCATCATCTAATTGAGTTCTTGATGGCGAAGCGGGGGTTGAAACCATCATACAAGGCATCTGGGTTGGCAGCAATTGTTTTGAACAGTGAAAGAGGTGAGGTAACATATGCCAAAAATTAGCAGTAAAAAGTTGAATGGTGACACAGCCTCTCTGATTTTTAACCTTGTTCCATAGAGATATGTCAATTAGTTCAAATTGTATTTTTGGTATATGTCATTGGTTTTGAATTCGAATTTGTTTGCCGTATTTTTTTTTGGTTAGATTTGAGGTTTTTATGTTATTTGATTGCCCGTGAAGATATTGTCCATGTTTTTTGGATTTTTATTTTTATTTATTTATTTTTTTTTTTAAGATTTGAATTGATGACAATTTAGACTTCTTGATGACAATTTTGCTCCTCCAATATCCACATACACATTAATGCAATATGTGAATGTATAGTTTAGCACGCAAATCCTTAACCCCACTACACTAATATATTGTTCTTATATTTTATCAACAATTAATCATATTTGTATCTTTGTCTCTATATAGCCCATGAGCATAGCTCTTCTGATTCTTGCTCTCCTCCCTCTCTCTAGCCGAACGTGTGGGTGTGGGTGTGGTGTTTGTGCTTGCCAAGCTAGGGGAGGTTGGTATTTATAGGCAATTTGGTGTAAAAGGACAAAAAAGCCCACTAGTTGAAAATGGATGGAAAGGTTAGGATTTTGCTTGAAGTTTAAAGGAATAGAAGTGATTAAGGTGTTAAATCATAGGATTAGGCATCATTTAGTTGGTTCTTAGTTGGAAGGTAACTAGTATTGGAATTAGCATCCTAGGTCTAGGGTACTAGGTTTGTAAGTTTGTAGATTTTCATGATGATAGACTTAGAAAATTGTATCCTCATTTCCTCCTAGAATGGCCGGCCCTAGGGAAGGGTGAAGGGGCTATTATTTTATCAATTTTAGGCTCTAGGACACACTCCTCAAGGTATATATATATCTTACATGATTGATGGTACTCATGGTACAAAGGTACAAGTACTAGTCTTTGGGGTGAGTTTTGAATTTTAAATAAAGGGTGAGGGCTTGGAGTTAAATACATGTATTGGGACTGTACTCATGTAGAATTAAATTAAATTAGGTTAGGGAACCTAATCTGGCTAGGAAAATTCCAGTTTTGATGAAAATAAAATAAAATGGTAGCCGACAATATCTAAAATAATCAAGTAATCGAGGGGCTTTAAGAAAATAATTCAAACATTAGGGTCTTTAAAGTGAATACATATTTCAGGGGCTTCACACTTTCTTTTGATTACCCAATGATGAAAATAAGAATGTGTTTCTCATAAAATCCTCAAACAAGAAAGTTAGAATTTGAGCTTTACTCTCAAACCTAAGTCTGTTTTGGCCAAATGTAATTTGCACAATCTGACCATACAGATGTCCCCGAAATGTTCCAAATAGTTGGCAAACACTATTAGAATATTGTAATTGGACTCTAGATAGCTTAAATGTAGCCAAAATAGATTGGACGGTCCAGTTACACGGTTCCACCTTAACTGTGTCACACAGAATAATTCCTCTCTGAATTTCGTACAATGACATTAGGTGACATTGGTGGCTCGGCAGCGGCTTGGCTTGATTGTTGATGGTTTAGTCAAAAAAAAAAAAAGGTTACTTAAATTTGCAGGTTAGGGGATTTGAACCCTTGCACTATTGTTTGAGAAGAAACCTTGAACCACTTTGCCACAACATAAGTTGTCTTGTGTTTCTCAAGTTATTTCTTTTAACTTGACTTGTCCCCCATCGTGCTTGTGACCTACCTGGTCGCTGCCGCAACCAAGCTAATCGCGGTTGTGACCATACCAACTGCACCTACAACCACAAAATAGTGGGCTTTTTTTTTTTTTTTTTTTTTGTGTGTGTGCGC